CATTGCAAATTTCCTATTTAACGAATTACGGGTACTGAATAATGTGCTTTGTACATATTTAGACAATCCAAACAGAAAGTGGAGTTTCGGAATTAACAGAATCCGGAATAGCGGGGTTTCATGGTATTTTACACGTAATTCTCAGATGATTTTAACCTAGTAACTATTTGAGGGCGGAAATAAAATGCAGTGAAGAATTTAACAAAGAGTTTTGAGTTACCGGAAACAATCTTGCTCTCCAGATGCTCCCTTTAAACTTCTCATGTCGTTTAACTGTGGTTTAAAACATTTTTACAGGCATTAAACGTGTGAACTCGAAGTCCGTTAAGAAAATTCAAACAATGGAAAAAATGGAAAGACACGGTGTAATTGAGCAAAACGAAGCTGAAATCAACCTCTCCAATCGATGAAATGAGTAATCAACTTGAAACTTTTTGTTCAAATCGAAAAGGACAAAATTGGGTGTTATTTTTTCAAATGAATTTTAATTGTAGTTCGTCTTGTTTTCAGTGCACGTAATGCCATATCACACTTCACTAACCTCTTCCACGAGTGGCTATTTTCCGACCACGCTTTAACCGAGCCATTGTTTCATTTCTAATTAAAAGCGGTGTATTATCATCAGTTATTAATATTATTATGGTCAAAGACTTAAGGACATGTGAGAAAGGCAGAGTTCCTGTTGTAGTCAGACGTTGCCCCTGCACGACAACCTAATGACTATCGAGGGCTGTTATTCACTGAAATTTACATATCATTTAACGCAATTCTCGTGACGACTAATGGATTAAAATGAGCAGAAACTCGCAATTTTTAAATCAGCGCTGGTGAAAGCTATAGTTAGTGCTATCAAATCCGCGCCTTCTTCGCGCCAGATCTCAAGAAAATTACACGTCTATTGCAATACCTTCTCGATCACACTTCTAAACTAATGGGCCTCGCCTCGGCCTTGCTTTAGGCAACATGTACCATCTTGGAATTAACTTAAGAGATTTGTTTATGTTTCACGTGTTAAAAGTCCTTAAGACGCCCGATATCTCGCAAGCGCATTTATCACAAGTACGATGATGCTGGCGTTACCACCACTGCTATTATACAACACCCCATGATTCCGACCCTCGTTCAAGCCTAAACAGTCTTTCGCCAACTGTCTAATCCCCGACCATTGCTTGGGTTAATTACCTTTTTAACTCCGTTCATTTGTTACCGTTGATGACGTTGCCACAAAGGGTTCGGGACGTTGGACGACGCATGGGGTCGCACACGCTATCTATTTGTTCAATGGTTTCATTTTCAGTTTGTTTTCTCTTCACACGTTTCAGATACTAACGCGCTGTGAAACCGTCCGTCGCTTGCTCTGTCGTGTAACCGGGGTGAAAATTGGTGTTTGTTTTGAAAGCTTACATCCAAATGACGTCCCTGCTGGGAGCTTAGACCAACACACGTCATCAGTGGCACCCAACACACGTCAATGTGTGTCACTCTCCCACCACCAAGTCAGACCATCAGGAAAATTACCTGTCACCCTGGACAAAGCAGGGTTAGAGTGAGAAAATAGTCGTTAACAGGGGCTAGTTAGACAGACACCCCTTAACCTATTGTCAATGACCCCAGGGGACAAAACCCCGACCCCAAAACGCTCCCCTCCCTCCAGATCGCCGGGAGGGAAAGTCCGGTTAAATATGTCCGACCCCAGCAGCTTGGGGCATTTATTGTCTTCATGCACCGTCCTCGCCTGGCATCGGCTGAACAGACTTCGTCAAGTGGACGATTGTTTCAATTTGTTCAGCTCAAGAGCTAATTCAGTCATTAGATCGAAAGTCAGTAAGTGTTGTCCCTAGGGTACCCTGCTTCTCATTGTGCATGGGCTATCATTTCCTGGTTAGATGCTCAGCGGGCCAGCCACTTGATGGTCGATTCGATAACGCGGTGTGCGAATAAATATACAAACGCTGCGCGTGGTAATTTGTTTACAAACGTAATTAAACTGTTAATATTCCGCATTATTTCGTCATCAAAATTCCATAGATTCTGTGTTTATTTAGCTTCGGTAATATCACACTATTTGATAGCACCCACATTGCGGGGAAATTCTAACATGGCATGAAAGACGTGTTGGGGTGTCCATAATGACGTTCAAGTCGCCAGCCTTTCTCGTAATATTATCAAGCCGATATAGATTAGGACATCAATTTGTCTAGAGGCAAGTTTTTGCTTGTAAGTGGAAGGGCTGTACAGGGATCCACTGTACTCGTCGTGTCAAATATTCCCTGGCTGATATGACTGTACATAACGTTTCTGTTTACTGCACCATTGTGTCTTTGTTACTGTGTCGAGACGAGAGTTTATATATAAGTCAGGGAAAATAAACTTTTTTATTGGCACACAACTGGTTAGTTGAGACGGAGTGGAACATAATGGGCTGCTGTTTCCTACAGCTGATATAAATATGCTGATTTTCATCTCCCGAGAGAGATTTTGTTTCTCTCGTCGCTTTTCAATATGCTGTGTATAAGTCAATACACTATCTCATTATTGCAAATACGCATAAGTGACCAACTATATTTATTTGTAATATTAATTTAATCTTAAATATCTCACAGACCCGTGCATCTCTCTTGCTGATGCAGCGTCAAGCAATAATTGCTCACTCAGTAAGTATATATTTATATATTCTGCTATACGTTCATGTATTCTACATAATTCATTTGAAAACGACAAAGCCAGTTTCAATTATCTGCCCAAACAGACACACACACACACACACACACTCTCCCTCTCTCTCTCTCTCTCTCTCTCTCTCTCTCTCTCTCCATACGTCTGCCTCTTCATCTACTCTCCACCCCGCACCCTTTCACCGTGTTCTACCTTTTTCCCCAACTTCGTTTCTCGCCTGAATTATTTCTCCTTCTGTCCCTCTATACCCACCCCAAGTATTTCCTTCCCTCACTCCTCACGACCACCCTACTTATTGTTTACCATTCCCTTTATCTGTAAACCCTCTAAAAAAGCCAACATATCGACACACGCATATACTGCTGACTGAAGACTCTCTGGGAGGGCCATAAGGGATTAATCCAAAATCACCCAAATAAAGATGGCTACTTCTTGAAGAGCGGTGGTCAGCTGATTTACTGCCAGGGCATTAAATGACCAGCGCCTCAAACAGGCCATCACATACGTCTCGGTGACCATTCATCGGTAACAAGTACACTTCCTAAGATAAACACGCCATATTGTATTTCCCAATTTAACTATCCCATAATCTGTCAGCATTAAATAAAAGATGTCGTAGAGAGATTACGAGGGTGAAAAAGTTCGGATTTCTGTTTAACACAAAAGGCGATGATGTGCCCTGTTCAAGGATACTCGACTGTTCTTCAGTAAACACTTCACAATAAAATGGTCAATTAAACTATGATGTTTCACCCTTAAAGTCAGATACGAGTGTAAATGTCCCACCGCCAGTTAACCCAAGCTCTGTGAAACTTAGAATGGCGCAAATTGGCGATGCCAGATTCTCCAAAATCTCATCCCTTTATAAGGATTCAGAGGAAATATCTTGTCTGTATAAATGCACCAGATCACCTCAAGCACCGCCATAATTTATTGGTCATCCGAGAGTTTAATGTGAGGATTCAAACACAGGATACATTCAGAGAGGGCTAAACGTTCTGTTAACCCACACTTGGAGGAAACAATACCGTGACAACGCCTTCGCTATTGTCTCGTGGGATTACCGCTTTCACGGTGTCGTTGATGCTTGGGTTTACAGTCGGGATAGACATGGTTTACATATTGTTCGTGTTGTTGGGTATTGTCCAGCGAAGATATAACTGACAAAAAGTCGTTGAGAGGTTATGTGTGAGTTTTACGTTAGTTAACAGTAAGGAGGCATCTTGACGTGTGACAATCTGTGTCTTGTTAACTAAATATCTCATTTAATGATCATATTTTCTCAGTTTGCAACTGTGATCTTGTTCAAAGGAGATTAATATGCCATTCACGCACTGACACTGTGAGTCCTTCTGCGAGGCAAGAGGATTGAGGTGTCCCCCATAGTCAACAATGAACCAGTGCTCAGAAATACAGGCGACTTTTATGATCGGTAGAATAGGTGTTGAAGTAAAATGAAAAAAATATTATTCTTTGGACGTTAATGTTAGATATTGTCTACGACAAAGGATTTTCTTTCATTCTCATTGGTTGAAAAACAATATGAAATACATTTTCTTGGATATATACAGAGCTTTGTCGCTTTTATCCGAAATTGTATCTCCATAAATATATTTCTTTGAATTGTCTATTTTGTGAACTCATTAAGTCGTAATATATTTACGTTTCACACTCCTGAATATATGCAACACTGAATATCAATGTTCAAAATTTCTTTACATTGGTTTCTTTCTGCTGATGCGTCTTTGTGTCCACCGTGGTATGGTTGGAATATGAACCCCAACTCACTCACTCACTCACTCACTCACTCACTCACTCTTTCTCTAAAAAATGGTTTAAGCAAACAGCAGTCTCATTATGACTGTAAAGTATCTGCTCGTGTTTGTATGCATGTGTAGTTGACTACTCATGATTAGTGACTGCAGAACAGTTTGCGCACGTGCCAACTTAGTCTGTCATGCCATTTCAGAGACAAGATGTTAGTCTAGTGCCTACCTCGTCTGTCATACCATTCAGAGACAAGATGTTAGTCTAGTGCCTACCTCGTCTGTCATACCATTCAGAGACAAGATGTTAGTCTAGTGCCTACCTCGTCTGTCATACCATTCAGAGACAAGATGTTAGTCTAGTGCCTACCTCGTCTGTCATACCATTCAGAGACAAGATGTTAGTCTAGTGCCTACCTCGTCTGTCATACCATTCAGAGACAAGGTGTTAGTCTAGTGCCTACCTCGTCTGTCATACCATTCAGAGACAAGGTGTTAGTCTAGTGCCTACCTCGTCTGTCATACCATTCAGAGACAATATGTTTATTTAGTGCCTACCTTCCACTCTTTGTTATTATCATCTCCGTGCCGAGTTCGTGGAACTTGTCCCAGAGTTCCTTGGTCTCCAGCCTACAGTTGACGTTCTCCAGTTCCTTGCTACCGCTAGAGGTCACTGTGGTCTTCTCAACCTTCTCCTTTTTGATGACCTTTATGTCTGGCTGAGGAGATACCGGACCATCGCTGGGCTCGACCAGACGCTCTGGACACAGAGATATATGCGGCTATACACATAGAGAATACCATATATACAGAGACGCATACACTCTCGGGTACAAAGAAACCCATGCACAATCATATATGCACAGATGCAAATATACATAATATAAACTGAGACACAATGACAATCATATATGCATAAACACATATGCAATGACAGAGACACATTCACAATCATACGTGCAGAGACACATACACAATCATACGTGCAGAGACACATACACAATCATACGTGCAGAGACACATACACGATCATACGTGCAGAGACACATACACAATCATACGTGCAGAGACACATACACAATCATACGTGCAGAGACACATACACAATCATACGTGCAGAGACACATACACAATCAATAACAGAGACACAAGCACAATCTTACAAAGACACCTACACACAATCATATAAGCGCAGACACATACACAGTCATACATACATACATTCACATGTATACACATAGACACATACTCAATCATATAGACAGAGATATATTCACAATCATACACAGAGAAACATACACAATCATCTGTACAGAGAAACATACACAATCATCTGCACAGAGAAACATACACAATCAACTGCACAGAGAAACATACACAATCACATACATATTCACTGCTCAATCATACACAGACACATACACAGTCATATACACAAAGGCACATTCACAATCATACACAGAGAAAAGCATATACGCAGATATGTGTGGATGTGTTCACAGATACATGCCGATACACAGATACACACAGACAATCATTTACATAGAGACAAAAGGACACACAAACACACACACATACATACAGACACACACACACAAACACACACGTACATACAGACACACACACAAACACACACGTATACACAGACACACAGACACAAACACACACACACGTACACACACAAACACACACTACATACATATGCAAACACACACACACACGTACATACACACACAAACACACACGTACATACACACCACACACACAAACACACACTACATACATATGCAAACACAGACACACACACACACACACACACACACACACACACACACACACACACACGTACATACAGACAACACAGTTACTTTATCAGAGACATGCACACAATCATATACATAGAGAGAGAGAGAGAGACAATCATATACACATACACACGATCGTACTCATTCAATCATACACAGACACATACGCAGTCATTTCCACAAAGACACATTCACAATCATACACAGAGACAAGCATATACACAGATATATGTGGGTGTGTTCACAGATACATACCGTATACACAGATATACACAGACAATCATTTGCATAGAGACAAACGGACACACAAACACACACACGTACATACACACACGTTCATACAGACACACACACAAACACACATGTATATACAGACACACATAGACACAAACAAACACACACACACAAACACACAATACATACATATGCAAACACACACACACACACACACACACACACACACACACGTACATACAGACAACACAGTGACTTTATCAGAGACATGCACACAATCATATACATAGACACAGAGAGACATATACAATTATATACACATACACACGATCGTATAAAAGGAGAGACACGCACAATCGTATGCACAAACACACAAATGTTCATACATATAGACACGCATAATCCAGTTGACACATACATTTGTAAACACAGACACACATTCATGTACACAGAAACAAGCATACACACATACACACTCATGTACACAAGTATGCTTAAACGTTACTGTTTGCAAATAACTTTACACTTTATTCTACACAGTCTATCAAGACATTTTTAACTCACTCCAAAACGTTTTGAATAATACAAATCCATGGCTCTCTGAACAATTGAAAGTTCATCCATATGTGTGAGTGACTCATCTAGTATCATATGTGTCTTTGTCACAGACGTGTTAGCCAAGCATCTCCATCCCGGGGTGAACGATTCTTTGCAGAAATGAAATCTTTTATTACACAATACAAGTCTCTCGTCTAAAATAAATTTCCTGATGATGATTTCATATGAGGCGAGACTTGCTTTGCTATAATTGTAATCCAGACAGGCTTGGGTTTCATAAGATACATATACTCCGGTCATGGTGCAGTGTTAGACTATTTTATCTCTTGCTAATTTGTTAACAGTGGGTATTAATCACTGCATCACTGGAGTTGAAACAGTGAACAGTGTTTCAACATTATATTCCTGTAGTTGATGAGGAGTACTCGGGTGGAGGAGGGCTGGGAAGACAGGGAATATCCAAAACAGACATCTTAAGATGCTGACACAAATGATATCATATTCACATTGTGACAAAATATTTGCATTAGTGAAGAATGTTTAAGAGAGTTTCAATGGATGATTTGAAAAAAGATTATTTATAATAAATGTGACTGTGATCATGTCTTTGCTTTTGTTGGAATGTTATAACCACTCTGTGATATATTATCAAGAAGGAAACATCATGGTGTACTGTACATAACTGAGTAATAACTTGAATAAATCATGTTATAACTTTCATAAAAAAGAATTATTTGAAATTATTCACGTTTACAACCGATCTCATAATATTAAAATAGGTTCCATGAGTAAATACTTTATCTCACATCAGTCTGGACTTAAGGAAGCTTAATCCCAACCCTTCCGCATTCACATTAGTATTACAGGAAATACTAGTTAAGCATATTGCTTTAAATGTTTGTAACACTGTCAATGAAGTATTATTATCACACATTATATGTACACATGTAATAGTGGAGGAGATACTTTTTTACAATGATAATCTATATCTACTTAAGACACTGATATAAATGCTGAAGCACAATTGGACAGAATATTTGTAGATTTTCATTTAATCAGAAATTAGAAAATAATTGTCTCACTAGCGGATATGTTCTCTTTACGATGTCTTATCCGAAAATAGTAAGAGTATGTAGTCATTCTAGAAGCGTGTATTGCAACAGGCGACAGGGTTATGGTGTATAATGCACATGTTTTAAATTAGAAAGAATTAGATTAAACAGAGAATCAGAACCACTGATATTGCCTCTCAATTCATTATCAGTCAGGCATAACGCATGCATTTCTTAATACATACATATTTCAATTTATACACATACATCCTCTTTCTTAATTTCGCTAGAAACATGTTTGGAATATGTAGCATATTAAATGAAATATAAAATGTCAACGCCAGAAGATAACCAGTCTCGATTATCTGCCGAAACAAATTCAATTGTGGGTAAAAGGCAAAATAGCGGTGAAAATTATATGGATGGATCACCGAAATTAGTGATGAGACCAGGCGAAAAAAGTATGGATGTCGTGACTACCGGTTGCTCTTTCTACAATTATTACTTAACTTAAAAGTATCTCCTTTTTCGTGCTCTATTATTTTTTTTATTTTCAAAAGATAATATCATTACATAGCTTTCTTTAAAAACATACCAAACGATTCGCCAAACAACCATTACGACCGATACACTTCGGTAAACAACAGAGGATACGATAAGGAGAGAAAAACGGAGGCAAAAAACAGACAAAAAAATCAGAGCAAAATTGAAACAGGAGCTTGGCAGTTTTGGTGGGTTAACAAACCGTCTCCTGTATCATCAGACTCAACGTATGACAAGTTTTGCAAGTGAGACAGTCATAATATTTTCCTTCAAGGAAATGCGTTTCATTTTACACTAATTCCTAGTGCTCGGAGAATCATTGCCTTGTGTAAATGTAGACTTATAGTGGGGATTGTGTTGGAAAATGAAGCGGATAAAAAAGGACTGTACATAATATGTATTTAATATTTTGTATTGATATTTATTCTTGGCGTATTCAGTGTTGGCATGAATTATATATATGTTGATGACGATATAATGAATCGTATGCACAGTGGTTGTTTTGTTTGTGTTGTATTTTTAAATATTCTACAGGGCTGCACACAAATATGCACTAATTGCATGAAATGGAAACAAAAGATCGTTGTCTTCATATAACAGAATACTAGAAAACATCCACATCTGAGAAAATAAACAATACTTTTATTTGAATATATTTTCTTGACGAAATGAGGAAACACGAATTATCATTTATTTGGTATATAGTCTCAAAGCTATATATATATGAATTATGGCTATAAATATTATGGTTGTAATTATAGTTTCTTGCATTTATGCATGACTTCTTTAACGCCTCCCATGCAAGTATAAACATTGCCGGATCAAATGTATATATATCTAGATCGCATCACACTGATGATCACAGCATTCGCTATTTTTATATACACGTAAAGTTCATTTCTTGGTGTTTGTTTTAATGCATGCATACAGTAGTAATATTGTGAGGGAGTGTAACGCATCATTTAAGAGAACGGAAAGTGAAATTAATAAACGTACCTAATGGTGAAATTTGAACCTTGCTTTCAGGAATAACTTTATCAGTGTCGTCTGCTTCCTGGGAGCCGATGATAGCAGCTATAGAAAACGCCGTGGCTTTAGACGAAAGCTGGGGTTTAACACTTGGGGGAGAATGCGGCAGTGCATCTTTCTGTCTGTCCATACTTTCAGGTGTCCGTGGATTTTCTGAGACACTCATTCTCAAACAGGCGTGCTTTTTACAATCAGACTGCGTCGCATGAGGAGTCGGGTTTCGACTAGCAGACGACACTTGTGTCTGACAACGCAAGAGGCAAGCTGTTCGGTCGCGAGGATCGTCTTTTAGACAAGACACTGACAATTCGTCCAACGGTCGTAATGAAGGTGCCAAAATTTGCACTCCCAATGGCATTCGGAATACACTCGGAACTGTAAAATCGAACCATGTATATCTCCTACTGTTATCCCTGTCAAGTATGGCACCGACAGCCGAAGTAAGCCTTGTTGTGATTGGTCCATCCGGCCGAACCCTTCGCCAACCATAAAGCACTTGAGGGAGGGTCTGAAAGCAAACAGTTGTATTGGGTAGCTATTAATTGGCAGAGAGAACAGCAAGATTTTCAACACTTAGTGTAGCAGTAACTACCCCAGGCAACCCCGGGGAGGAGAAGGGGGAGGTTTGTGGTCTTTAAAACTGGCTGTTTGATTTGAAACAGATCAGTGAGATCTCCCAACACTAGTCAGAAACCACCCTCCATCTGTTCGCGAAAATTCAATACCCTCCCTTAACCCCGGCCGCGCTGAGCGTCGAAATCAAGACAAATTGATCATCAAACAAAAGCTATTGTAATACAATCATCTCGATGTAATTTTCTAAAAACGGTTAGTTTTGTTCCAGGAATTTTCTTCAATGTAAAATCATTAGTTATTGTCCTTTATACAATTTTTATTTTAGCTATAAATTCATTTTATCTGTCAATTTCACATATTGTATCGCCAATACTGTATAAATCACAGCCATTTATTTCTCCAGTGTAAACGGTCCAGTAAGGTTTACCCGACCCCCAGGATATCATTGTTACATATTCACATTGTGATTAAACCTTTGTTTCTTAATTAACACAATCATGCATTGTTGCTTGCAATCGTGTAATAGTACATCTACCCCGCGTTAAATCCGACACGTGACATACTGCCGAGACGATTCAAATAATCAGGACAGTTTCTGCGTCTAAAACCTGCCATTTTTCAACGAGGAGACACATTTCAGAATCAATTAAAGATTTATCCATACCCCTTTTCAGCTTCCATCCGCATTCCCTGAGGTATATACCATTATAAAAATCAACCTTTGTGTAACGTGATCCGATCCATACACAATGAAGATGCATTGCATCTGGATGTAATTAGAGAGAGGTAAATACTATTAACAAAGATTATCTTATTTGCGTCGGTTACAATAGTTTGCAATATGAAACAACAGAAACCATTTTTTAATTACCCGTATGTCTGTACGGATATATTATTTCATTATTGATAGCCTCGAAATACGGATACTGATCAAGCTGATAAAATTGATACATAGGTCAAATCAATATTTGTCAGAGGTATCTAATCTTGTACTAAGGTAATAATTAACGATGAAGTATATCATTGTCACGCTCCTGCACCACACCACTGTCCATGACGGTAGCTAAATGACTAACCTCGACATGAGTAATTACCAACGCGGAAATATATTTCTATCTTCGCTTACCCTACATGTTTGCGAATGTAGCGAATTGCTAAGCAGGAACGGAAGGTTATATATATTTCAGTCTCCATTTACACGTTCACAAAAGTAGTGTATTTCAAACGTTGAAATACAATGATACACACAACGTGTGTCCGTCATTGTCACAGGTTATTGATTAAAAAGCAAGGATACTGACGTGTACTTTTTAGGAGTAAGGCAAACTCGAAATACACGCGTTCTATCCGCCAACTAGTAGTACACATCCACTAAGATGCGGCCATCGATCAGAGTTGCCTCACACCATATTGACGTCACTCAAATTAATAACTAAGTTTTTATCTTGAATATTCGATATAAAAATGTTCTGAAAAACTGTGGTTTAACTTTGTATGTATAAAAAATGCACTTAATAATAACTCGCACATGGTGTTTCGGTGAGAAGATAATTCAAACAGGATATTAATGTGATCTAACTTAGGATATAGAATATTATGAAAATGTTACCCTCACAATGGTGACAATACAATTGTACAATAAAAGTACAATTATACAATAACAGCGACAAAACGCTCTCCATATAGTCAAAGAAATATCTGCCAAAAGCAGAGCCGATTGTTCGATTCCGAACGTGTGTGAGCATGTGTTTATGAATCACCATCAAAAAGTGATGATAAGTGTTCGCGAAAAGGTGAGCGAATCCTGCCTCACCGGTGGCACCCGTCACAAACACATGCAAAGGCAAGTCAGTTGTCACCTGAAAAAACACGGGAACATATGAAAACAAGTCTAAATATGGAATCGAAACGGACATCATTTTTGTCACTGATGCGTCAGATTTGGAAATGTCCTCTATATGTCTATCATAAAACTTTCAAAATTCATCTAACCATCGTCACACACGGGGCACATGTCCACTCTTCATATATCAGCATCCAGTTCACAATGGTCCTTCTTATCGCATATGCCATGTGCTTTTATTTATCAGGATCTTGAATATATAAAGTTAAATCTAATAATTAGGTCTGAAATCCATGAATCTGAAAATATCTCCGCTGATGCACATTCAAACGAAACGCCGTTACAAATACCAATATACCTATGTAATGACAGCTTAGTGTCAGCGTGATAAACAACCCTTTTGATATTGCAGCAATCAAACGTGAACTTTAATTATTAGCCGGACAATGACGTAGACACTAACACACTGACTTAATCCTGATACATCAAACACCGGCCTAATACGGTCAATTTAATGAATACAGCACACTGTATATAAATATTTTAAAAATATTTATACCACTCGTGAGACCGCTCATGCTAAAAACAGTAGCAGGTTTTATTTTACAGGAGTTTATGCAGATCTATATTCAGACGTACGTCGTAGTAGTGTGTATAACAAACAAACTTCCAACATATTTTCAAAATGAAAAATTTAATTCTGAACATTTGATAGTACATTACCATATATGGTGAAATATTGTACTATCCCAATTATACAAGGTCACAGTTGTATGATCAATACTTCTCATATGGTTTCAAATAGTTTCTTCTTCCAAATGTGAGTTTAATTTGTGGATTGGCAGTGGCAGTAACTCGGCATACTCTGTGTCAGTTGACATATGTTCTGAAACATTTTAAATTTGGCAGCTGCATCAAATCAAATTTTAACAATTATCATGTAAGTCATATAAATCGCCGATTTTGAGTCACTTTGTTTTCAAATATAAAGCGTTTATGATGTCTAAGCATACACAATTATGAATTTATATATTTTCTGATATGCTATATTTTCCATATATTGTTATACGGATCGTAAATAAGGGAACATTTTCTAATATGCTATCCTATAATTCTGCTTATGTTTAACTTTCTACGATACATTTAGCATTTTTTTCATATACTTTTCACCGCTATTTTTGCCTTTTAAGCCCAATGGAACCTGTTTCGGTGAATAAGCGAGACTGGTTATTATCTGCCGTTGACGTTATACATGTATGTGTGATCATACACGCGCCAGATATTTATATTAGTGTACACCCTAAGCCTAACCAACATGTCATCATGTCCTTTTAATATTGTCTAATACTAATTACAAATCAAACAGTTTCTACCAATGGGGTGGTGGGGTAGCCTTGTGGTTAAAGCGCTCGCCGAAGAGCCGGGTTCAATTCCCCTCATTGGTACAATGTGTGAATCCCATTTCTGGTGTCCCCTGCCCTGATATTGCTGCAATAGTGCTGAAAGCATAACCCTCAGTAGCGCTTTGTTTCTTATCCGGAAAGGGCGTAATATGATCATATAATGTATTAGCCATACATTCAAGGCATTTATAGGCATACTCTGAATGTATGTAATATGCATCCGCCATGTTATAAAGCAGTTCTACACGGCCGATATATTCACAATGAGAAGTGTAACCTGTATGAATTATTAGATATATTCTGCAATACTATTGCACCTGTAATGTCAGAATTGATCGGTTGTGTTTATTTTCATTTAACCAGCAATGCTATTTTCCTAACAAACGTGCACGTAATTTAGGGGAAAGAATTGCACAGTTGATTCAAAGCCCTGTGTATATATGATGATAAATGTATAAAATATTATCCTAATTATTAACATGTCAATACTAAACTGATGGACAAAATAACATTTACCGAGGTTTTTTTTGTAATTGAAAATTGAAAGAACTGTTGTTAACTTTGTTTATGTCTGTTTAATCATCACACTCGTTGGTAAAACGTCATCTGTGGCTGGTTAGTTTAGTGTAAAAATCATCTGTTTCAATTATGACTGGGGTAAGAGATGAATCAACAACCCCATTACCCTTACAGGATCTGCAATGTTGAAAATTTGCGCCTAAACAAATCAAATTTATTGCCTATCAAAGATAAAATGCCTACTTTACCCATCAGCAGTTGTGTATTTAGGTGAGGTGAAATTCGCGTCCAAGATTATTGCACTTATATAGCGACGTGCATGCACGTGTGTGTGTGGCTGCTTTTACTAGTCCGGACTGATGCCGATTTATAGTGCTAGCTCACTGAGATACCATGCCGCAGTTTAACATGAATACCCCACTCAGACACAGTATACTGACTCCGAGCCGACCAGTCCTTGTTTTAGCCCCTTAATGCCGAGCGCCAGACGCGAACCCCGGACCTTCCGCTCTCCGGGCGGACGCTCTACCACTAGGCCACGGATGCGGTCTGTTGTGTATTTAGGCTTATGCAAAGCATTATATATATATAAGGCATAAGTGAAAAACTTATGCGGAACATGGTTTTAGTTTATAAAAGTTTTTAATACAATTCTATTTTGAAAAATAAAACCAGACAGTATTCTTTGAGTGCCGACTTATTGACCGTCCACTTCAGTTTTTGGATATAATATGGTCAACTTTAGATATTTTTAATTGAGAATCAAACACTTGATAAAATCAACTGAGGGGTGTAGTATATTTTCCTCCTCGGCTCATTGCGATGTTCACAACAGAGTTATTATATACCAAGTATCAAGGAACGGTCAACATGTCAAGTGTATGTGTGTGCTGTGCCAAACTATATTTTTAAATTCCCATGAAAAGGTGTAGACATTATATAGTTTCAAAGCCGGAATATATAATCATTTTCGTATATATTGACTGTGTCTTTATTTGAAGACTCGGGGTACAACACATTATAATGAAAAGGTTTAAAAGTATTCTCCATTTGAGGCTCGGAGACTCGCATAAATAC